TTCATCCATGAGAGCCTTGGAAACAAATCTGAAGTCCTATTCAAGCAAGTGATCAAGCTTGATGAAGACATTAAGAAGTTAAGAGAGGATCATGATCGATCTTTGACCCTAGTTAAGCTTGATGTTGCTTCCAAATATCAAGAGTTGCTGAACAAGAGCATGAGAATTGAAGATACTAGCTATGGCAATAGCAAGCACCTTGGATCAATCTACAACCGCCTACAAGCCCTTGAAGGATCATCTCATGCCAATTACAAGAGAGAGAGGAGTCCAACACCCAACCACCCTCCCTTTTATTGCAATGCCATCACAAGAAGAAGCACTACTCAAGTCCATGAGGACAATGAAGAAGAAGAAAGAGAGTATGAGGAACAATTGAATGATGAAGATGAAGAGCAGAGCATCGACATCAATGCTTCCCCAAAACAGAGCATGGATACACCAAGCCCTAGAGACCCTCGTTTCTCACCAAGAAGTCAAGCTTCTACACTTCCAAGACTGGAAGCAATGCAAAGACCATCACCACCTACTGAAGAAGAAGATACTTGGCAGTATGATCCCATTGATCCCAACAAGATAAGCCCCATGAAGCTTAAAGAGTTCAATGCTAAGGTGAAATCACTTCCATTCTATGTCACTTTTGAAGAAGCTTGGGATAAACATGGTCTAGTGGAGTTCTTTTTCACAACTAGTGAAAACAAAGAAGAGATACACCAACTTTCAGGAAGGCTCGATTTCCCATTGCCCCTCATGGAGTCAATCAACCACCATCACCACCATCATCACCACCACCCAGTGGTATGTCAATTCCATATCAAGAGAGAAGCTTGCTGAGTTCAATCAGTTTGTCCAAACTCTTCCAGCCAGCATGTCTTTCAAAAAGCTTGGCGCCACTACCCATTCACCACCTTTCTTCCACAACTGCAAGGAGACACCTGAGGACATAAAGAGCTTTTTGAGAAAGCTAAAGTTCAGCCTACCTTCAAGACCCTCTACAAGATTGAAGACCCAGGTCAATTCTCTATTCCCTGTCAAGTAAATGGTCATTACTTTGATAGAACACTATGCGATTCTGGCTCTTGCATAAACCTCATGCCAACCCAAACCGCCAAACTCCTTGGCATCACACGCTTGCAACCTGCTCAAATTAGTATTGGACTTGCTAACCATACTATAGCCAAGCCAAGAGGAGTTGTTGTTGATGTTCTTCTAGAGATTGGAGATATCAAGATCCCGGTGGACTTTCATGTCATGAACATTCAAGGAGGATGTGACACACCATTGATACTAGGCCGACCCTTTTTGGCCACTGCTGGAGCTGTCATGGACCTTCCAAACCGGCGAATGTCCTTAGCCAATGTTGACAAGACAGTCTTTTACAAGACCATACCATTCATCTCACCAAACAAGCTGTCTTACCTCATCACTGCCCAAGGCCGCCCAAGAGAACCACCAGACCACACTCAAGGTCACAATGAGACAAGAACTAAAAGACTATGTCTCAGGCCGTGCCCTTACCCCATCTCCAACTAAGAGATCCTATCAGTCAAGCTAATGACTCAAAAGAAGCGCTGCATGGGAGGCAACCCATGAAAGGTGTTTTTCTTTACTTTTCTTTTCAATTAGTTTTAGTTAATGTCTAGTTTTGTTTTGAGTTTGGAACAGGAATCTAAGAACCACACAATGGTAAAGAAGATATACCACAAGAAGAATGTTCATAGTTGGCGCGACTTAGATGGCCGAGCAGAACCTCTCCACGCTCGCCCATGTCCTCTCAAGCCGCCCAACACACCATCCCATCTCATTCCATCTGCATCTCACCCATCCCACCTCACCACACTTGCATTCCATCACTACCATCATTCCACTGCATTCACCATTCTTCAAGTAACACAAATCAGGTTACATCTTTCTTTTTACATTCACAACCACTTTATTACCTCTTTCTTTAACTCCCTTAATTGGATTTTCTTTCACCGGGACGGTGCAAGTTAAGTCTGGGGGGATTGTCGGTACTAATGTGTTTGTTCATGGTTGTTTTGATCTTATAATTGGTTTTTCCTACCCACTTTTTCAAAACTTCTGTTTTATTGAGTCAAAACCAGTCCGGAACAATGAACTTGCTTTGAGATTTGATAGTGTCATGCTAACAATCTATGACCCTAGAGCAAACATCAGCTGAAGGCACAAGCCTAACAGAAGCTCCTAGAGTGGATCGCATGCTAGCTCAGCGAAATTTCTAAGGTAACCAAGCAATCTAGAGTTAACCTCACCCTTAATCAATCTTAATAACTCTTGTCAAGGGGATTGGCATACATGTCGACAGTTCCTTGCTTGATTTTCAATGAGATTTGTCTAAAGAGTTCACCTCTCTCTCCCATCCCAAATGGTAAGAAAAAGCTCAAAGAGCACAAGGAAAACAAGTAAGCATGAGGAATGCATATGTCTGTACCTTCATGTCTTATGGAATACCTTATCAAACAAGGAACAAGCTAAAGACTTATCCTGTGGTTGAAAGAAAGGTCAATAGAAAAAATAAAATGATACCCTAGAAAAGTAGGGAGAAATTGACCTTTCAAAGTTCTGATGTGAGAAAGAGAGAGGAAAGGAACTCATTGCACTTCAAAGACAATCTTGGAGAAGATCAAGTGGTAAGAACAAGTTCAATTGATCGATTTCCCTTGATAAAGAACTCACGCTTTAAATTTCTGCAAGAGGTTAACAATAGAGAGTTTGGATTGCTGGATGAGACTAGTTGGGTTGGTATGTTGCTAAACTTGCAGGGTGTATGTGAAGCTAACCTTATGTTGACTATGTTCTTAGTGGAATACAGGAAAGGAACCTTTCACAGGATTTTCAAAGAAGCAAGAGAGTTCCCACGTTTTTCAAAACCTCTTCACTAGTTTAGATTCTTTTTGCTTGGGGACAAGCAAAGATCTAAGTCTGGGGGAGTTGATATACCTCTATTTTACCTACTTTTTATGCTATTTTACTATGGTTTTCTAATGGTTTTCTAGTGGATTCTTGTGTTAAAAGGTAGTTTTTATGGATTTATAGTGCAAAGAGTCATTTTAGGTAAAAAGGTGCATTATGGAGCAAAACAGGAGATTTGGACTCTAAACCAGTTCAATGCCCCTGCATCAACTTTGGATGGAGCTAGAAAAAGATCTACTCAATGGATTTCATCAAGACCAGTTCCCTGCGTGCTCTGATTGAGTTAACTTTCCAACGCAACTGGAATGGCCTCATTTGGATGAGTAGAAAAGGAGTTATAGCCAAAAGAGTGAAGGCTGCTCCAGACGGCCATATCGAGAATCAGCGCCGAACGCGCAGACCGGCTGGCCGAGGAACGATGTTCCGCGCTCGGCCAAAACCGTATTCGTCCGACTGATGTCTCGGCCAAAGTTCAAACCATCGGCCGATCACGCAGACCCGGGAAACATTGTCCCGCGGTCGGCCAAGCCAACGCCACGCCACCCGCGCACGACCAAGCGCGCGAGCCGGGAAACAAAGCCTCGCGGCCGCGCAACCTTCGCGTACCACGGCCGATGCATCCGTCCGAGCCGGGAAGACGTCCCACGTCCGGCCGAGAAACCATCGGCCAAATCTTCATCCGCCGACCAAGCCGGCCGACCGTGAAATCATCCGGCCACGACCGTTCCGACTCGACCAAAGACCCGACTGTCCGGCCGACCGTCCCGACGACCGTCCGAACGCCGCGGTCGACCCGAAGCCGTTTTTGAAGCCCAATCCGCACAATTCAAGCCCAAAGCCGGCGCCGACCTAGCTAGATTAGGTTTAGCCGCTTTACATACTTAGAGCATTATAAATACTTCTTTTTAGCCTTGTAACTCAAGAAGGAGAGAGACCACAATCTATTTTACATCTTTAATAAAGTTTTGCTTGCTTTTACTTTGTTCTTGCTTGTTACTCTTTCTAGAGAGGATTCGAATCTCTGTTCTTATGAATATGAATTCGATTTCCTTCTCTATGTCTGAGTAGTTTACTTGTTAAGTGATAGGAAGTCAAAGGATAGCATTCATGTATGCTTGATGATTGATCACAATTAGGGTTTTACTTATAATCTCCATCTTTGCTTATACTTAATGCTTGTTGTTAATCTGGCCAATTAGCATATGCCTTTAGGTTGATTTGAGCCTCGACAGTGCTGTATCATTCGCCTGAACTAGTATTTGGTGGGCAATCTCTTTTAGACTGCGACAGTTGATCTACTTGTAGGTTGTGAACAATTGATCTTATCGAACTAATGCTTGATTTAATCACCTAGGGACATACCAAAAGTTTAGCGACTAGGTAGATTAACAAAGGGGTCGGAGCCTCGACAGTGGAATGATCATACCATAGTGTTTCAAGTTCTAGATTAGCACCTAAGTGCGGTAACCCTAATTGATTGATTTCATGCTTCTTGAATTGCTTATCTCAAGACTATCCTATTGCTTAGCTTTCTCTCCTATTGAATCTTCCTTTTTAATTACTTGCATGCTTTACTTTCTCTGCACTCAACCAACTTATACTTTTGCCCTAGCTTGTTCTCAAACTCATAACTTGTAGTGTGCAATCTGGTCCTCGTGTTCGATACCCGTTTACTACTTCTGACCTGTGCACTTGCAGAATCAGGGATAGGAAAGGGGAGACCTGATCCTCAGGATTTTTCCAAATTCCAATCCACCCAGATGATCAGGAGAAGACTACATTCACTTGTCCCTATGGCACATATGCTTATAGGAGAATGCCTTTTGGATTGTGCAATGCTCCAGCTACATTCCAAAGGTGTATGATGTCCATATTCACAGATCTCATAGAAGAGATTATGGAGGTTTTCATGGATGATTTCTCAGTATATGGTTCTTCCTTTGAATCATGTTTGGGAAATCTTGGAAGAGTGCTACAGAGATGTGAAGACAAGCACCTAGTTCTAAATTGGGAGAAGTGCCATTTATGGTTAGAGATGGAATAGTGCTTGGACATAGAATCTCAGAGAGAGGCATAGAAGTTGACAAGGCCAAGATTGAAGTATGACAAACCTTCAGCCGCCCAAGACAGTTAAAGATATCAGAAGCTTCCTAGGACATGCTGGGTTCTACAGGAGGTTCATTAAAGATTTCTCACAGATAGCAAGGCCGCTAACACGCCTATTATGCAAGGATATTAACTTTGAGTTCACAGAGGAGTGTCACAAGGCTTTCACTAAGATCAAGGATGCATTGGTCAGTGCGCCAGTGGTTCAACCTCCAAACTGGGAACTACCTTTTGAGATAATGTGTGATGCAAGTGATTATGCAGTAGGAGCAGTGCTTGGGCAAAGAAAAGACAAGAAGCTACATGTGATCTATTATGCCAGCAGAACGCTTGATGAGGCACAATGCAAGTATGCCACAACAGAAAAGGAGCTTCTATTGTCTTTGCATTTGAGAAAGTTTCGATCATACTTGGTGGGATCGAAAGTTATAGTTCATTCTGATCATGCAGCATTAAGGTATCTCTTATCTAAGAAAGATGCCAAGCCAAGATTGCTGAGATGGATACTACTATTGCAAGAATTTGATCTTGAGATCAAGGATAGAAGAGGAGCAGATAATGGAGTAGCTGATCACCTTTCAAGGATGAGAGTTGAAGAAAATCTACCTCTTGATGATAGGCTACCTGAAGAAACAGTTTATGCAGCTGAAGCTAGCAATAAGCATGGACAACTAAGCCATCACAGGCCAGGAACAAAGATCTCATCATCAAACACACCATGGTTTCGCCACATAGCAAACTTCCTTGCAGCTGAATACCCACCACCAAACTTCTTTGGCTACAGAAAGAAGAAATTTCTGCGTGATGTAAGAAGGTACTACTGGGATGAACCTTACTTATACAAGAAATGTTCAGATGGAATGTTTAGAAGATGCATACCCTGAGGAAGAAGTAGAAGGAATATTGTTTGCTTGTCATAGTTCTAGCTATGCAGGCCACTTTGCCACTTACAAGACAGTATCCAAGGTCCTACAAGCTGGATTTTGGTGGCCAACTATGTTTAAGGATGCTCATGCATTCATATCAAGATGTGATGCTTGCCAAAGAATGGGAAATATAAGCAAGAGGAATGAGATGCCACAGAACTTTATACTAGAAGTTGAAGTTTTTGATGTTTGGGGCATTGACTTTATGGGACCCTTCCCAACCTCTTTTGGTGACCAATACATTCTAGTGGCAGTTGATTATGTCTCCAAATGGGTGGAAGCCATCGCCAGCCCTACTAATGACGCACAAGTGGTCATCAAGATGTTTAAATCCATCATTTTTCCAAGGTTTGGAGTGCCTAGGATAGTCATAAGTGATGGAGGTTCACATTTCATCAACAGAATCTTTGCCAACCTTTTGAAGAAGCATGGAGTTACTCACAAAGTTGCCTCTCCTTACCACCCCCAAACTAGTGGACAAGTTGAGATCTCAAACAGAGAACTCAAGAGCATACTTCAGAAGACAACAGGCAAGACAAGAAAGGATTGGAGTGCCAAACTAGATGATGCTCTATGGGCATACCGCACTGCCTTCAAAACACCACTTGGTACCACCCCCTTTCATCTTGTTTATGGTAAAGCATGTCATTTACCTGTGGAGCTGGAGTACAAAGCAGCTTGGGCTATTAAGGAGTTGAACTTCAACCTAAAGACAGCAGGAGAAAGAAGATTGATTCAGCTGAATGAGCTTGATGAGATTAGGCATCTAGCTTATGAGAATTCAAAGATCTATAAGGAGAGAACCAAAGCTTTCCATGACCGCAAGATCATCCCAAAGAACTTTGCGCCAAACGACCAAGTTCTACTATTCAACTCAAGGTTGAAACTCTTTCCAGGAAAGCTTCGCTCAAGATGGTCAGGACCATTCAGGATTAAAGAAGTTCGCCCCTATGGAGCAGTGGTACTATGGGACCCAATGGGAGGAGACTTTACAGTCAATGGACAAAGGTTAAAACCCTACCTAGCTTCCACCACCATACCACAGGAGACCACACTGCGCTTGGCGATCCACCAGATCCTTAAGGAAGTGCCATACAGTCAAGCTAATGACTTTAAACAAAGCGCTGAATGGGAGGCAACCCATTGAAGGTCATTTCTTTTCATTTTCTTTCTTTATTTTCTTTTTTTGAATATTACCTCTCACCTTAATGTGATTTGCTTTCACCGGGACGGTGCAAGTTAAGTCTGGGGGGAGTTTTATTGTGTTACTAATGCATTTTTCTTTCTTTTCTTATGTTTTATTCACTTTGTTTCATGTTTTTCAAAAAGTTTTATTGAGTCAAAAACCAGTCCGGAAGTTATGAACTTGCTTTGAGAATTGAGAGTGTTGTGCTAACAATCCATGACCCTAGAGCAGAAACCAGCTAAAGGCACAAGCCTAACAGAAGCTCTTACAGTGGATCGACATGCTAGCTCAGCAAAATTTCTAAGGTAACCAAGCAATCTAGAGTTAACCTCACCCTTAATCAATCTTAATACTCTTGTCAAGGGGGTTGGCATACATGTCGACAGTTCCTTGCTTGATTTTCAATGAGATTTGTCTAATCTTTAAAGAGTTCTCCTCTCTCTCCCATCCCAAATGGTAAGTAATGTTTATGAGAAAAAGCTCAAAGAGCACAAGGAAAACAAGTAAGCATGAGGAATGCATATGTCTGTACCTTCATGTCTTATGGAATACCTTAGTCAAACAAGGAACAAGCTAAAGACTTATCCTGTGGTTGAAAGAAGGGTCAATAGAAAAAATAAAATGATACCCTAGAAAAGTAGGGAGAAATTGACCTTTCAAAGTTCTGATGTGAGAAAGAGAGAGGAAAAGAACTCATTGCACTTAAAGACAATCTTGGAGAAGATCAAGTGGGTAAGAACAAGTTCAATTGATCGATGTCCCCTTGATAAAGAATTCACGCTTTAAATTTATGCAAGAGGTTAGCAATAGAGAGTTTGGATTGCTGGATGAGACTAGTTGGGTTGGTATTGTTCGCTAAACTTGCAGGGTGTATGTGAAGCTAACCTTATGTTGCTATGTTCTTAGTGGAATACAGGAAAGGAACCTTTCACAGGATATTCAAAAGAGCAAGGGAGTTTCCACGTTTTCAAACCTCTTTCACGGATTTAGATTCTTTTTGCTTGAGGACAAGCAAAGATCTAAGTCTGGGGGAGTTGATATACCTCTATTTTACATGCTTTTTATACTGTTTTAGCATTGTTTTCTAATGGTTTTTGGCAGGTTTTCTATCTAAAAAGGTAGTTTTACTGTGTTTATAGTGTCTAGAGTCTAAACAGGTGAAATGATGCATTTTGGAGCAAAACCATAGGATTTGCACTTCAAGCCGCTCCATGCACAAGCACCAACTTTAAGAGGGCCCAGAAAAAGATCTACTCAATGGATTTCATCAAGACCAGTTCCCTGCGTGCTCTGATTGAGTTAACTTTCCAACGCAACTGGAACGGCCTATTTGGATGAGTAGAAAAGGAGTTATAACCAAAAGAGTGAAGACTGTCCAGACGGCTCTATCGAGAACAGCGCCCAACCGCGCAGTCCGGCTGGCCGAGAACGAATGTTCCGCTCGGCCAAAATCATCCGTCCGTCTGAAGTCTCGGCCAAAGTTCAAAACCATCGGCCGATCACGCATCACGACCCGGGAAACATTCCCGCGGTCGGCCAAGCCCACCACTCACGCCAGCGCGCACGACCATGCGCGCGAGCCGGGAAACAACCCTCGCGGCCGCGCAACCTTCGCGTACCACGGCCGATGCGCCGTCCGAGCCGGGAAAGACGTCCCGCACGTCCGAGAAACATCGGCCAATCTTCACCGTCCGACCACAGCGGCCGACCGTGAATCCGGCCACGACCGTTCCGACGTTCCGACCGACCACGACCGATTTCCGGCCGATCGTCCCGACCGACCGTCCCAACGCCGCGGTCGACCCGAAGCCCGTTTTGAAGCCCGTTTCATATTTTCAAGCCCGGCTTAACCCTAAGCCGCCTCTAGAAAGACCTAGCACTATATATATAGCTTTTTAGCCTCTTGTGAAAAGAGAGCCGCCCTTGTATTTCGATTTCCTACTCTAAGTTTTATTGCAATCATGTTTTCTTCATCTCTTATGTGTTGTTTGCTTTGATCATGTCTGAGTAATTCACTAGTTAGGTTGTGAGATCTATCAAAGAGTTCATGGTTTGATAGGTTGTTAGAAATCGCATAGGGTTTACTATATCGCATCTTCGCCTCTGCTTGAATTCATTGCTGCTTGCTTTTCTGATCAACTAGCATCAGATCTTAGGTTTCATATACTCTCCAAAAGCTTGCTATATAACCTGAACTAAGTATTTGGTGAGCAAAACTTCATAGACTGCGAAAGTTGATCTATGCGGGGTTGTGAACAATTGGGTCTTGAACGAATTATTGCTTGATTTAATCACCTAGGGACATACCAAAAGTTTAGCGACTAGGTAGATTAACAAAGGGGTCGGAGCCTCGACAGTGGAAAGATCATACAATCGTGACCTGAGTTCTAGATAGCGCAAACCCTAGCGAACCTTCTAATATCTTGTTAACCTTGAATCTCTGCGAGTTTCTCATTGCCTAGCGTTTCCCTTATTGATTTTCATAAACCGTTTAATCTGCTGTTTGATTTACTTTGTTACACAATCAAAACCCTAAATCATACTTGTTTTCTAGCTATATTAGACTTGCAATACTCGAAGTGTACTTATCTGCTCCTTGTGTTCGATACCCGTTTACTACTTTGACTGTGCACTTGCAGAATCAGGGATAGGAAAAGGGAAGACCTGATCCCGCGATCACTAGAGGAGTAGAGATCGAGATTGCGGGGCAGTCAATGCCAGCATACTTGGTCATCAATCCGGGATTGTTACAGAGGCAGGGTCGTCTTTCAGCGGGATGCAGGGAGGTTGGTTTATCAGGGAGTGAGACCGACTTCTGGGAGTATTGTGATATCTCCGATTCAGGCTGAGCAGTTGCTAGAGCGAGGTTGTGAGGCGTATCTGGCGACGATTTCTATGTCTAAGTCAAAAGGTGGAGTTGTTATGGGAGATATTGAGGTTGTCCAGGATTTTGAGGATGTCTTTCAGTCACTGAAGGGATTACCACCATCTCGGTCTGATCCTTTCACGATTGAGTTAGAGCCGGGGACAGCACCAATATCGAAGACGCCTTTGTTGTACTTGCATTTTACATAGTTTTAGTACATCTTTTATGCATCTTTTGCATAGTTTTAGCATCCATTAGCATCATATCTTGTTCCTTTTCTCTTCTTATGCATTCATAGTAGTTTTAGGTTGCATTTGCATACATATGCATGTTTGGTCCTTTGAAATAGGTCTTTTGGAGCATTTGGAGCATATGGGACGTGAGGAGCAAGGAAGGACTTGGTGCATGGACGCAGCTCAACTGGATACGCAAAGGAAGAAGGAGGAAGCCATCTTGAAGACCAGCTCGACCACCTACTCGACCAACCGGTCGAGTTCCTCAACTCGACCGGCCAAGCTTCAACTCGATCGAGCTGAGAAGTCAAAGTCAAACCCGAAAAATGTTGCTTCCCCCTTGACTTTCCTTTGACCCTAAACCTAATCCTCTTGTATTTAAAGGCTAAGCCACGAAAAAACCACCAAGCTTTAGATTATTTTTGTTTTAGCTTTTCTTAATTGTATTTTACTTTTTGCAACCTAATCCTCTCTTTGTGTTCTTGAAGCTCTTGCTTCTTGAATCCTTAGATCCTGGATTATCTTTTGTATTTGCACTTGCTTATTTCAATAAAAGTTTTATTTTTTCCTCTTTCATATGATGTCTCTTTCATTGCATTTGCTTGTGTTTACATTCATGTGTAGTGAGTAGTTTCCCTTAGGGTTTGAGATGGGCTAGATTAGAGGATTTTATGCTTAATCCTTCTTGCTTATGTTCTTAATCTAGAAATCTCTCTCTTTTGGACAAACCTTAAGGCTACATGACCACTACCCCTGGCTTGTATGTCCATAGGCGATTCTCCACATGGAAGTGATGGAAATCGCTTGGAAAAGGTCCACTAAGAGCTCCAATATCTTGCTCTCGAAATGGAGTTCATAGGGGTTGGATGGATTAGTTTGAGCAATGATCCTATGGCCTCCAAGGCTTGATTCTCACTGGCTAACCCCCTGTTTCTGAGATCATCCTTGGTTGATAGCTTTCACCTTGGGAAAGGGTTAGCTAGGCATTGAGAAGCTCAATATCAAGAGATACCTTGATACAAGTTGTTTGAGAGCAAGATTGATTAAGTATAGCCTTCCTCTGATTGTAAACCCTGTCTTAGACCCTAATTCTCGCATTAGCTTGTTAAAGTTCCTGCCTTTATCGCTTTTTACTTAACTCGACCCTCAACTCGATCGAGCTCGGTTACTCTGTTCCCACTCGACTCGAGTCCTTGGTCGAGCTGCTTGCTTTACTGCTTTCTTTACTTTATTGCATTGCATTTCTTTCATTAGGTTGTTAGTGTTACTTCATCTATTTACTGCTTGCTTGACTTCCTTGTTTTGCATATTCTCATAGAGTGAAATTTCACCCATTTTGGATTGATACCCTTATACTTCAATGACTATGATGGTTAAGGGAATTGATTGATGTGTTTGTGTTTGCATCTACCACTCATCTTCATATACCACTGTTGCATTCCACCTCATTTCATTTCATACATATCATCACATCCACACACAAATCCTATCATCAATTTGGCGCCGTTGCCGATTTGGGATATATTTTGTTGCATTTGAGTTTCAAACACTTGGACGATCAAGCTATACCACCCCTGTTCTATTGTACTGCTGGGTTTTTGTCTCTTTTTGCAGGTGTATGCGAACTCGATGGAGTCGGATGAGAAATTGCGTAAAGATGTCAAATCGTTGAATGAGAAGTTGGATAAGCTTATCTTAGCTCAGTCCACAATGAAGAAGGTCAATTTTGTGTCTACTGAAGAGATGGAACCAGTCCAAGAAAGGGAGGATACACAATTTGCTGAAGTGTGCTACATGAGCAATGGGCAAGGAGGTTACAACAAAGGCTACTATAATTACAAGTCCAACTCAGCCATGTCATACCGAAACACTGATGTTGCTAACCCTCAGGACCAGGTCTATCTTCAACAACAGCAAGCTCGATCGAGTCAAGCCCAACAACATGGGTATGGTCCTAAAAACAACTACCAAGGCCCTCAAGGGACTTTTCCTAGTCAGAAATTGCTTCAGGGGCAAGCTGATGGTGTAGTGGACACAAGCAAAAAGTTAGCTGAAATCAACTGAAAGATTGAGAATCTCAACACAAGAGTTTACTCTCTTGAGAATCATGCTTCTTCTGTTTCTGCTACTACAAAGCAAAGACATCTACCTGGTAAGGCCATTCAGAACCGCAAGGAACAGTGCAAGGTCATCTTCACTCAAGAAGGTCTTGATGAAGAAGAGGATCAAGAGAGAGTCATGGAAGAGTTTTGTTTGTTGTTGCATGACGAGGAGATTGTTGTTGATGAGGCTCCTGGAGTCCAGTTTGATCAAGTTGAGGTGCAAGTACCTACTGTAGCCTTTCAAACTTCACCAGTTGAGCTCGCAGAACAAGCTCGATCGGCAGCTCGATCGAGTCGAAATTTAGCTCGATCGAGTCAGACACCTTCTGTCCTCAAGCTGATTTTGCTTGATCCTTACCAGCCAGTTGATACATCATCAGGCCGCCTACTCATTCAAAGCCATAAGTAAGTGATTCACAAGTTCAGAAGAGACCTCAGTGAGATTGGAGTTGAGTTACCTACTATGGAGAGCATGAGTGAGGCCTTTGAGCAAATGAAGTTGTTCAAGATGTTCTAGCTCACAAGGAAAAGGTTTCTGAGCTTATGGAGATGTCTACCCACCAAATAAACCTGCTTACCTCACCTACTTTCTTACCAAAGGTGAAGGATCAAGGGAAATTCACTCTCCCTTGCACACTTGGGCATATTGAGCTTGACAATGCCTTGGTGGATTCTGGTGCAAGCATCAACCTCATTTCTCTCACAATGGCAGAAACGATTGGCATTGTGATGCGGCATCTATGGGATGAGTACAAGTAATAATTCCCTAAGACAACTAGTGTTGCAAGTGCACAACATATAATTGTAGTATTTAGGGGTCGAACCACAAGGGATTGGATTTCACACATTACATAATCATAGAGTTTAAATGACTAAGCTAAATCAAAAGATGCAAGGGTTTGTGTTTGTTTAGAACACGCAAAAGAAATAACAATGCAATTCTATACAAGCAACATTATTGAACTATTGAAAACTCTTTTGAAAACATGAGCCAAGTCGATTGAAAAGTTTGTTAAAATCCGATTCTTTTGAACTCAAAACACTAAGGAAGGATTATTCCACTTTCGTGGTTCCAATCCCCTATGTCTCTTAAACCAATGGGCTCAGCTTTCGTTGGTCATTGTAGAGTGAGACATGCATTACATCCAAGTAATGATTGTTCACAAAACTCTTTAGGTCTACTTTCGTAGCCTAAAACGATTTGCCCATCAAATACTATATCCGGAGATATAACAAGCTTTTGGAGAGTATATCAACCTAAAATCAAGTCACTAGTTAGCTACTCTAGCAACAAGCATTAAGCATAAATAAAGATGGAGAACCATAGGGTTTCCCCTTTTAACAATCGATTTTCGATGGCCATTATATCACGTCCTCATTGGAAGGATCCATAATTCAACAATGAGTCTTAGATAGTAGATGAAGTCTCATGAATCCTTAGAGAGAGAGGCGGCGGAATATGACTAAACCGCCTCACCCTTAGGGAGAAATCTCTACTTCTAGACTATATAAATTAAAACATGCAAGCTATATACAAATGCAAAAGAAGAAAAGAAAGAAGAAGGAGACCACCTAAGTGGCTCCGAACTTTATTGAATAAGTGTTTCTTGTTATGCGGCTGGTGATTCTTATTACAAGAGGCTAAAAGCAAGTATATATAGGTAGAGAGCGGGTCTAGGTCGGCAAAGTTGAGCGCGCGCAGAAGAGGAAAGTTTCCATTTCTCTTTAGCCGCTTGAGCTTGCTCTCCAAGTTCTTGAATGGGCCGCGTTCAGGCCAATGGAAGCTTCTGGATTGAGTTATGCTAGTGTCAAGACGAGCCAAGGCCTTGGGCGCGGTATCTCGGGCCTCTTGATCCATCAAAGTCTCCATGGGCTCTACTTAGGCGCTCGTCGGACATGTCTTGGTAGAAAATAAGTTCCGGTCCAACGAGTGATCCAAATGACCTCTTTCCACTTCGCCGCGGGTCATGACTCAAATATCTATCTTTCCATATAAGAATCATGACTTTTGGACGTCGGGAAGGCATGAATATGCGGTCGTACTTCGGATGCTCCGGTTTGGTCTTTAGCGAGAAATGTAGATTTTGGTGCTCTAGACTTGGGAACTTGGTGATTTGACTCTTTTTGCTCCATTTTGACTCTTCTTTGCTATTTTGACCTGAATGATGCTCAAAACCAGAATATACAAGAAAACTACCTCTTGGGCTTAAAAACCACATTATTTGTATTAAAAACATAGTGAAAACCTTGATAAAAACATGAAAGATATGGATATATCACATTGCTGGAGCATTGCAGCGCCCTACTACTTCAATCATGTTTGGAGATGCAACTTCAAGTCTCCTCTTGGTGTGTTCAAGAACTATCACTTGAAAATTGGAGAATGCATCATCCAAACTGATCTTACTGTCATGGAGATGGAAGAAGAGAAGGATCTACCTCTGCTATTGGGAACCCCATTCCTTAGCACAGTTGGCGCTTCAATAGACTTTCACAAGCAAGAAGTGATTCTTCACAAGGTGAATAGTTTGGTGTCATATCGCTTGCAGCCTAGAGGTTCAGACTTTTGTGCCACAATTGAAAGCACTCTCAGTTCCAAGCCTCTGAAGTTACAAAGGTTGTGAAGGAAAGGGTTGACAAAGAACCAAGAGTTGTGGAGATAAGGTTGAGAAGGACAAAGAGTTGAAAGGACCAAGGATTGAGAAGCCACGCTTGAGAGGGCTAGAGTTGAGAGACCACGTTCTGAGAGACCACGAGCTGATAGGACTTGTTCAAGCACCTTGTGTGCTTGATGAGGAAAGCCTTCCAAGCTTTGTTTGATGAGCCACTAGGAAGCTCTCAAAAGAAGGGGAGGATGCAGCCTCAAAGGCACTTGTGGGAGAGAAAAGAAAGAACCCACCAGCTCAGGTTTCCTCAACAAGCCATCTCAGCTCACAATGACCTTGTTCCCCACCAAGTTTGAAAATGGGAAGATTGAGTACAAGATAAGGTACAAGGGGAGATCAAGACCATTCTCTAGAGCCAAGGCCTTGGTCACTTCAGAGCAGTCCAGGGATCCAACCAAGCTAAAGGAGCTTCTGTCTCAAGTCCTCACTATCACCCTTGATGGTGGGACTAGCTCAACCAATGCCTAAGAGGTAAAGGTCAAGCTATGGGACCTTAAACAAGCTCACTTGGGAGGAAGTCCCATGACTATCCTTGTACATACTTTTTATGCAATTTCTATCTAGTTTTGTGTCTTTAACCTTTCAGAAGTTAAGTTTAGGTGACAAAGGAAGCCAGCTCGACCGACAGCTCGATCGAGCTAGAAACAAGGGTAACTCGATCGAGTTCCACAACTCGACCAAGGTAAGTTTTTGAATTTCAAATTTCTAACCGTTTCCTTGGTCAAGGGAGTGGGTCCCACATGTAAATTTTGGTCCCCCACTTCCTAAATCGATCAGAAATCCCTAGCTTTTGTCCCCTCTTTAATTCATCTTTTAATCCCAACCACACATCTCAAACACTCCCTCTTCCCCATAACTCGATCGCACAACCCCTCTCTCTCCCACACTCAAAATTTTCTGAAAATCATCCATCTCTCTCATCTCTCTAAGAAAAATCCGAAAATCTCTCATTCCCTCTTAAGTTTTGCGATTCTCCCTGTTCATTATCTTGAATTGCTTTAGTTCTAGCTACTGTTCTAATTCAATCATCATCAAGCAAGGTATGAACCCTAACCCCAATTTCCTTAAGTTCAATTCCTTTTATTGCTTGTGTTCTCTTGAATTTTGATTGCATGTGTCCCTTGTGGACTTGTTCTTAAAGAATTGCACTCATATTCGCCTCTTGCTTGGATCATACCTAAATCCAGGGTCTTCGAATTCTGACCCCTCAAGGCCAACTCGACCATCAGCTCGACCGAGTTGAGTTTCCTCTGTTTGGACTCGATCGAGTCCTGTGGTCGAGTTGGAGCGTCGAGCCTTGGAACTCTTCCTCCTCCTCTGCGAGTTGTCTCCTTCTTCCCTTGGTTCAAATGAGGAGGCTCTGTGAGGCTCTTGGCAGGAAGCCTCCTTGGAGTGGTGAGAAGGATCTACTCCTAGGGAATGTGGGGGCCATGGGTGTCTTCTTCTTCTTGGATGAAGAACCAGAGACTTCTTCTCCAAATTCTTGATCTTGCTCACCATCTTGTCCATGGACTTTTGCATCTTCTCCATGGCTTTCCCTTGCCACTTGTTGAGCTTTTGGAGAAGTCCAATCCTCTTGTGAGCAGCCACAACAGAGGGGTTCATCCTTGGAGCTTCATACTCCTCAAAATAGTAGCACTCAGGCTCACCCAAACTCTCATTCTCCTGGACTTGATCCTCGCTCGATCCTCAGCTCGATCGAGTTCATGCTCCTCTTCTCAACTCATCCTCATGCCCAACTAATGTGTACACAGGGGGTCTGAAGTCGATGTTCTCACCCCTGACGACTGTGGTGAGCTCTGGGTTGGGCAGGAGAAGCTTGGAAGGGCCAGCCAATGGATGTGTGAACTTGAATTGGTACCTCCCATCCAATTCCTTGTGTTCAATGAGGAGGTTGGTCTTGCAAAACTTGATGTCCATCCATCCAGCTGGAGTTGACCTTCTCTTGTCTAATTGGACCCCAGCTGCACATAGGATTGGTGTGATCCTCCAACACTAAGCTTCCTCCCTTGTTGAATCGAGTGTTGTAGCTGTGGTGCTTGTAGGAGAGGAGCTGATCAAGGAGAGGCATGAGATTCCCTGCGTGCCCTATCTCCTCTGATCTTCTTCCCATCTTGTGCGTGAGATGATGGGCTTGATTCCCCATGTCAAGGAGCTTGACTTCTCCTTCATTGATTGTCCAGTGGCCTTTCCTTGCAAAGAAGGTGTTGGCAAGAGCCTTGTGGACATATCTCAAGCACAGACTCCTATCTGAGCAGCCTTGGACCTTGAAGAAGAGTACCCCCTTCAGCGATTGTAGCCCAAACACTTTGGAGCTCATTTTCCTTGATGTTCCAATGAGTTCCCTTCTCCATAGTGAACCCAAACAGTATCTCAAGCTGCCTAAAGGTGACCATCTTCCTTTCTCCCTTTGCCAAGAACGTGATCCATCCCCAGCCTTGGTCCAACTCAGCTCGATCGAGCTCATCATATTGTGGTACCTCATCGACGCCAAAAACTCACAAGTGAGCTCCTTGTAGACTCCATGCGGTGAGAGAAGAACTTGGCCAAGCATGTTCTTGAGCACCAAGCTCCACATCCTCAAAGATTCCAAGAGCCTTCATTGTGTCATCATGTGGGTACTTGGTCTCCACAAAGTCCATGGAGAAGAGAGCATTGTAGTGCTCTTGGTACATGGGGAGCTCATCCTCCTCTTCTTGTGGCTCAGCCTCCTCCATGGGCTCATCTTGGTTACTCTTGCCACTCTCATCAACCTTGATTACCTCTTCTCCTTCTCTTCACTCTCAGACCCATCACTTCTTCTTCACTTGGAGAGCCATCACTCTCCTCTTGAACAAGGTTCACCCCAATCTCAAACTCTCCTTGCTCACTCTCACTACTAATGGGGTCATTCCTCTTCTTGGTTCTCCTTTCTTCCCTCAATCTCTCGCTCTCAGACTCCTCTCAGAGTAGACATACTCCTCTGCCTCAGACTCTTCATCCTTTGATTCATCCCTTCCAAATCGGCTTGCATCTTTAGCCTTCTCTCCCTTGCATTGCTTGATTCACCCTCAACCATTCTCCTCTGTGAAGCACGGCTTCCCTCACTGTTTGTCATCCTTGTTATGTTGTTCTTCTTCTAAGGTACCTGAAATGCATCAAAGATTCAAAGAATTAGAGTTGTAATGATCGGTTTGGTCAACTCGACACCAGCTCGATCGAGTCAAAAAACTCGAGTGACAAACTCGATCGAGCTAGGTGAAAACAGAGTATAACCGAACCTAATCAGTATTAAGAGCTGGAAAGATGCTTAATCAATCAAATTCCAAAAACATAAGTAATGGAACAATGAGCAATTCTAGTGAAACAAAGCATCCTTAACCAATACCAAACTCAAATTCAATGTTTTAAGCACATGCAACAAGTTTAATGGTAAAACAGAGGTGAGGTGAGGCAAATTCTCAAAACTATATAGCAGGAGAAGGATATGAAGGCAATTACTCAAGAACAATCCCACAAGGGGCACATGCAATCAAAAATCAAAGAGGAAACAAGCAATAGAGAGGAATCGAGATGAAGGATTCAAGGGTTTTAGGGTTCATACCTTGCTTGAATGATGATTGAAGACAGTAGCTAGAACCAAAGCAAATCAAGATGATGAACAAGAGAAATCGCAAAAACTTAAGAGAGAAAGAGAGAATTTCGATTTTTCTTGTGGTGATGAGAGAGATGGATGATTTCAGAAAATTTAGAGTGTGGGAGAGAGGGAGAAGGGGGTTCGATCGAGTTATGGGGAAGAGGGAGTGTTTGAGATGTGTGGTTGAGATTAAAAGGTGAATTAAAGAGGGGACAAAAGGCAAGGGTTTTCTGATCGATTTCAGGAAGTGGGGGACCAAAATTAACTTGTGGGACCCACTCCCTTGACCAAGGAAACGGTTAAAATTTGAATTTTGAAAACTTACCTTGGTCGAGTTGTGGAACTCGATCGAGTTGCCCTTTGTTTCTAGCTCGATCGAGCTGTCGGTCGAGCTGGCTCCTTTGTCACCTAAACTTAACTTATTGAAAGGTTAAAGACACAAAACTAGATAGAAATTGCAATAAGAATATGTACAAGGATAAACATGGGACTTCCTCCCAAGTGAGCTTGTTTAAGGTCCCATAGCTTGACCTTTACCTTTTAGGCATTGGTTGAGCTAGTCCCACCATCAAGGGTGATAGTGAGGACTTGAGACAGAAGCTCCTTTAGCTTGGTTGGGTCCCTGGACTGCTCTGAAGTGACCAAGGCCTTGGCTCTAGAGAATGGTCTTGATCTCCCCTTGTACCTTATCTTGTACTCAATCTTCCCATTTTCAAACTTGGTGGGGAACAAGGTCATTGTGAGCTGAGATGGCTTGGTGAGGGCCTGAGCTGGTGGGATCTTTCTTTTCTCTGCCTTACACCTTCTTTTTGAGCGCTTCCTAGTGGCTCATCAAACAAAGCTTGAAGGCTTTCCTCATCAAGCACACAAGGTGCTTGAACAAGCCTATCAGCTCGTGGCTCTCAGAACGTGGTCTCTCAACTCTAGCCCTCTCAAGACGTGGCTTCTCAATCCTTGGTCCCTTATCAACTCCTTTGTCTTCTCAACCTTATCCTTCCCAACTCTTGGTTCTTTGTCAACCCTTTCCTTCACAACCTTTGTAGCTTCATGAGTCTTGGAACTGAGAGTAGTGCTTTCAATTGTGGCACAAAAGTCTGAACCTCTAGGCTGCAAGCGATATGACACCAAACTATTCACCTTGTGAAGAATCACTTCTTGCTTGTGAAAGTCTATTGAAGCGCCAACTGTGCTAAGGAATGGGGTTCCCAATAGCAGAGGTAGATCCTTCTCTTCTTCCATCTCCATGACAGTAAGATCAGTTTGGATGATGCATTCTCCAATTTTCAAGTGATAGTTCTTGAACACACCAAGAGGAGACTTAGAAGTTGCATCTCCAAACATGATTGAAGTAGTAGGGCGCTGCAATGCTCCAGCAATGCCAATATTTTCTGCCATTGTGAGTGAGATGAGGTTGATGCTTGCACCAGAATCCACCAAGGCATTGTCAAGCTCAATATGCCCAAGTGTGCAAGGGAGAGTGAATTTCCCTTGATCCTTCACCTTTGGTAAGAAAGTAGGTGAAGTAAGCAGGTTGATTTGGTGAGTAGACATCTCCAGAAGCTCAGAAACTTTCTTTGTGAGCCAGAACATCTTGAATCAACTTCATTTGCTCAAATGCCTCACTCATGCTTTCCATAGAAGGCAACTCAACTCCAATCTCACTAGGTCTCTTCTGAACTTGTGAATCACTTCCTTATGGCTTGACTGAGTAGGCGGCCTGATGATGTATCAATGGCTGGTAAGGATCAAGCAAAATCGGCTTGAGGACTGATGAAGTCTGACTCGATCGAGCTAGAGTTCGACTCGATCGAGCTGCCGATCGAGCTTGTCTGAGAGCTCAACTGGTGAAGTGTGAAGGCCTCAGTAGGTATTTGCACTTCTGGTTGATCAATCTGGACTCCAGGAGCCTCAGCAGCAACAATCTCGTCGTCATTCAGCAGCATACAAAACTCTTCCATGACTCTCTCTTGATCCTCCTGATGTACTTGCATTTTACATAGTTTTAGCACATCTTTTATGCATCTTTTGCATAGTTTTAGCTTCCATTTGCATCATATCTTGTTCCTTTTCTCTTCTTATGCATTCATGTTAGTTTTAGGTTGCATTTGCATACATATGCATGTTTGGTCCTTTGAAATAGGTCTTTTGGAGCATTCTGGAGCATATGGGACATGAGGAGCATGGAGGGACTTGGCACATGGAAGCAGCTCAACTGGATACGCAAAGGAAGAAGGGAGAAGCCATCTTGAAGACCAGCTCGACCGTCCACTCGACCAACCGGTCGAGTTCCTCAACTCGACCGGCCAAGCTTCAACTCGATCGAGCTGGGGAAGTCAAAGTCAAACCCGAAAAATGTTGCTTCCCCCTTGACTTCCTTTGACCCTAAACCTAATCCTCTTGTATTTAAAGGCTCTAAGCCACGAAAAAACCACCAAGCTTTAGATTATTTTGTTTTAGCTTTCTTTAATTTATTGTCTTTTACTTTTTAGAACCCTAATCCCATCTTTGTGTTCTTGAAGCTCTTGCTTCTTGAATCTTAGATCCTGGATTAATCTTCTTTGTATTTGCACTTGCTTATTTCAATAAAAGTTGTTTAATTTCATCTCCTCTTTCTTATGATGTCTCTTTTATTGCATTTGCTTGTGTTTACATTCATGTGTAGTGAGTAGTTACCCATTAGGGTTTGAGATGGGATAGATTAGAGGTTTCATATGCTTAATCCTTCTAGCTTATGGTCTTAATCTAGATTCTCTCTCTTTTGGATAGATCTTAAGGCTACATGACCACTACCCCTGGCTTGTAAGTCCTTAGGCGACTCCCCACACGAAAGTGATGGCATTCGCTGGAAAAGATCCACTAAGAGCTCCAATATCTCTTGCTCTAGACAATAGAGGTCTAAGGGGTTGGATGGATTAGTTTGGGCAATGATCCTATAGCCTCCAAGGTTTGATTCTCACTGGCTAACCCCCTGTTTCTGAGATCATTCCTTGGTTGATAGCCTCCACCTTGGGAAAGGGTTGGCTAGGCATTGAGAAGCCCAATATCAAGAGAAGCCTTGATACAAGGAGTTTTAAGAGCTAGATTGATTAAGTGTAGATTCCTTTGATTGCAAAACCCTGTCTTGAACCCTAATTCTCTCTTTATCTTGTTAAAGTCGTCACCTTTAGCTTTTTTGTCTCAACTCGACCCTAAACTCGATCGAGCTGGTACTCTGTTCCACTCGACTCGAGTCTTGGTCGAGCTGACTTTTCACTGCTTTGTTTACTTTTATTGCACTGCATTTTCATTTTTAGGTTGTTAGTGTTACTTCAAATCTATAACTGCTTGCTTGACTTTCTGGTTGTTTCATATTCTCATAGAGTGACAAGTTTCCCATTTTGGATTGATAACCTCTTATACTTCAATGACTATCATGGTTAAAGGGAATTGTTGACTGTGTTTGTGTTTGCATCTTACCACCTCATTTACCACTGATTGCATTCCACTCATCTCATTTCATATCTTTTCACATCCACACACAAATCATCAATTTGGCGCCGTTGCCGATTTGGGAATATTTTTGTTGCATTTGAGTTTCAAACACACTTGGACGATCAAGCTATACCACCCCTGTTCTATTGTACTGCTGGGTTTTTGTCTCTTTTTGCAGGTGTATGCGAACTCGATCGAGTCGGTCTAACTGAAGACTTGGTCGAGCTAGACTTACAACGGGTAGAAAGAGGGTTCAGAGGTCACAGAGGGTACAAGAGGAACCTGAGGTGCTTGTTGCTGATACAATGGATGTACCAGAGGGGAATGGAAACCCTTTGGGAATGGACTCGGTCGAGCTAGGCAAACTCGACCGATTGGTCAAGGAGATGCTCCAAACCGCCACCAACAGAGACAAGGGATTGTTCCACCACCAGTGCAGAACCACAACTTTGAGATCAAGCTGGGAATGATCAACCTTGTCCAGAACAAGATGTTCCATGGATTGCCAAGTGAAGACCCCATTGACCACCTTGATGAGTTTGATAGGCTTTGTGATTTGACAAAGATCAATGGTGTCTCTGAAGATGCCATCAAGCTGAGACTCTTTCCTATGTCTCTAGCTGACAAAGCTCACCAATGGGAGAAGAGCTTGCCCCATGGCACAATCACCACTTGGGATGAATGCAAGAAGGCCTTTCTTGCTAAGTTTTTCTCCACCGGTCGCACAGCCAAGCTTAGAGGAGAGATATCCAGCTTCATCCAGCGAAACAATGAGACATTCGCAGAGGCTTGGGAGAGGTTCAAAGGCTACACAAGTCAGTGCCCACACCATGGATTCAACAATGAATCACTACTCTCCACTCTTTATAGAGGATGCTTGCCTAGGTATAGGGAGATGCTAGACACAGCTAGCAATGGGAACTTCCTCAACCAGGATGTAGATGATGGCTGGCAACTTGTGGAGAACATGGCCATATCAACAGAATGCTATGGAGAGCACTATGAAAGTACAGATGGAGCTCGACCGCGCGCTCGATCGAGCTGGACGCTCAGATGAGAAAAGACATGCTTGCACTCAACTCGAAGTTGGACAAACTGATCCTAGCCCAATTCCCTGCCAAGCATGTCAACTATGTCTCAGAACAAACCTTAGTCAAGGACCAGGAAGGGGAGGAGACAACACAAGAAGTTTGCTACATTCAAAATAGACAAGGAAGCTATAGGAATCCTCAACAAGGGCGATACAACAATTATCAAGCCCCCTGGCCGCACCAACAACAAGTGTTCCACAAGGCTTCAACACAAGGACTACTCATACCCAACCAACTCAAGATTGGGATATGAAGGAAATGCTCCAACAACTTTTACAAGGGCAAGCCAAAGGTTCTCTGGAAATGAACAACAAGCTGGTTGAGATACACTCTAAACTAGAGTCATTGACTTCAAGAGTCCAAATCATTGAGTCTTCAAGTGCATCATCCTCTTCACCACAAGAGTATGCCCAAGCAGTTACACTAAGAAGTGGGAGCAATTCCCGAGTAGAGGTAGCCCACCCCAAATCGCTGTGGACATCGATGACGAGGAAGGGGAGGATTTAGTCGACTATGCTGATAACTCGACCCGAACTCGATCGAGCTGGAACAAAACCCTGAACCAGAACTCGATCGAGCTGGAGAAACTGAGACACTGCAAGACAAACCAGAGCTCGATCGAGCCAGAAGAGAGCAGACAAAGCAAACTCCAGCCAACCAGCTAAACCTGTTGCAAAGAAGAAAGACACTCCAGCAGGACCACCACCATACAAGCCCCCTCTGCCCTTTCCAGGAAGGTTCAAGAAACAACTGTTGGAAGCACACAAGGCCAAGTTTGATGAACTAATGAGACAGCTTGAGTTGAAGTTGCCCTTCATCGACGCCTTGATGCTCATTCCACCTTATCAGAAATTTCTGAAGGATGCTGTTCAGCAAAGAACCAGGGAAGCACAAGGGATGGTAGTGTTGACTCCGTGAGTGCAGTGCAATCATTCAGCGGAAGGTCATCTCCGACAAAAAGGAAGATCCGGGGAGTTTCACTTTGCCCTGCATGTTAGGACCCCTATCTTTCAAAAACAGTCTCTGCGATCTAGGATCATCTGTCAGCCTCATGCCTTTGTCTGTAGCAAAGAGACTGGGATATCACAAGTACCAAGCCTGCGGAATCTCACTAGTCTTGGCAGATAGATCGATAAGGTTACCAACTGGGATGCTTGAAGACCTGCCTTTGAGGATAGGGAATGTGGAAATCCCCACAGACTTCATTGTGCTTGAGATGGATGAGGAACCAACAGATCCATTGATTCTAGGAAGGCCATTCCTAGCTACAGCAAGAGCAATGATAGATGTCTGTGAAGGAACAATTGAGTTAAACTTGGGAAAGGACCTGAAGATGAAGTTTGATATCAAGATACAATGAGGAAACCAACTATAGAAGGTCAGCTCTTTTATGTTGAGGAAATGGATCAGTTGGCAGATGAGCTTCTAGAAGAGTTATCAACAGAGGATCCACTACAAGTTGCTTTGACCAAGGATTCTTCAGAGGGATATGTGAGCTCAGAAACTGATGAGTACAAGAAGCTCCTTGACACCTTCAGACCAGTTCCAAACATTCTGAGCATTGAGGATTGGACAGGCCAGTTTGCGAAGTCATGGCAGTGAGCTCGATCAAGAACTCGATCGAGTCGAGTTTCGAACAAACGAACTCGATCGAGCTGGGGGCTGAGAGCAAGGAGCAAGCTCAAGGAGATTGGTCTGAGCTTAAGGCGCCTAAAGTCGACCTCAAACCTTTGCCTGAGGGCCTCAGGTATGCATTTCTGGGTGAAAACTCAACTTACCCTGTCATTGTGAACTCTGATTTGGAACCTGAACAGTTGAGTGCTTTGCTTGTTGAATTGAGAAAGTACAGAAAGGCAATAGGTTACACTCTAGATGATATCAAGGGGATCTCCCCTGACCTATGCATCCATAGGATTCATCTAGAGGATGAAAGTAAGTCAAGCATTGAACCTCAGAGAAGGTTGAACCCCAATCTAAAGGAAGTAGTGAAGAAAGAGATACTCAAGTTGCTTGATGCTGGGATAATCTATCCCATCAGTGATAGCACTTGGATATCTCCAGTTCATTGCGTCCCAAAGAAAGGGGGGATCACTGTCATTAAAAACGACAAAGAGGAGCTGATTCCCACTAGAACAATAGTGGGGCATCGCATGTGTATTGACTATAGGAAGCTAAATTCAGCATCTAGAAAGGATCATTTCCCTCTCCCTTTCATTGATCAGATGTTAGAAAGATTGGCAAACCACCCTTTTATTGTTTTCTTGATGGCTACAGTGGTTTCTTCCAAATCCCGATCCACCCTAATGATCAGGAGAAGACCACTTTCACATGCCCTTATGGCACCTTTGCTTATCGAAGGATGCCATTTGGGCTGTGCAATGCTCCAGCTACTTTCCAGAGGTGCATGACCTCCATTTTTTCAGATCTGATAGAGGAGATGGTAGAAGTCTTCATGGACGATTTCTCAGTCTATGGAGCATCCTTCTCCTCATGTTTGTCTAACTTGTGCAGGGTGTTGCAGAGGTGTGAGGAGACCAATCTAGTACTCAACTGGGAGAAGTGCCACTTCATGGTTCGAGAAGGGATTGTGCTTGGACACAAGATTTCCGAGAAAGGGATCGAGCTCGATCGAGCTAAGGTGGATGTCATGTTGCAGCTCCCTGTTCCCAAGACTGTGAAGGACATAAGGAGTTTTCTGGGTCATGCAGGGTTCTACAGAAGATTCATCAAGGATTCTCAAAGATAGCAAGACCCTTGACAAGGCTTCTGTGCAAGGAGACAGATTTTGAGTTTGATGAAGAATGCCACAAGTCTTGGACCTTGCTGAAGGATGCTCTGGTGTCTGCGCCAATAGTACAAGCTCCAAACTGGGATCACCCATTTGAGATTATGTGTGATGCATCTGACTATGCAGTAGGAGCAGTGCTTGGCCAAAAGATAGACAAGAAACTCAATGTCATCTACTATGCAAGCAAGACTATGGATGATGCTCAGTGCAAGTATGCAACCACAGAGAAGGAACTCCTTGCCATAGTCTTTGCCTTTGAGAAGTTTCGAAGCTATATAGTTGGATCCAAGGTGATTGTGCACACTGACCATGCTGCCCTTAGACACATCTTCGCTAAAAAAGATACAAAGCCAAGACTTCTCAGATGGATCCTTTTGCTTCAAGAGTTTGATATAGAAGTTGTGGACAAAAAGGGAGTAGAAAATGGAGTTGCTGATCATCTCTCTAGGATGCGAGTTGAAGACATGATCCCCATCAATGATTCAATGATTCTATGCCTGAAGAACAGCTTATGGCAATCATGATCTTGAAGGAGAGTTTTGATGAGAAAGCCAGGCTGGAAGAAGTTAAGGCTCTGCGTGATGAGAATTTGCCATGGTATGCTGATATAGTGAACTTCATGGTGTCCGGAGAAGTCCCTAGTAGCTTTGATGCTTACAAGAGAAAGAAATTCTTCAAGGATGCTAGGCATTACTATTGGGATGAGCCCTACCTGTACAAGAGAGGACCAGACAGCATTTACAGGAGATGCATTGCTGAAGAGGATGTGCAAGGAGTTCTAGAGCATTGCCATGGGTCAGTTTACGGAGGTCACTTTGCTACATTCAAAACAGCAACTAAGGTTTTGCAATCGGGTTTATGGTGGCCTACTTTGTTTAAGGATGCAGCAGACTACATTGCCAAGTGTGATCCGTGCCAAAGGAAAGGAGGGATCACCAAGAGGGACGAGATGCCACTAAACCCAATTCTAGAGGTTGAGATCTTTGATGTATGGGGAATAGACTTCATGGGACCTTTCAAACCCTCTTCAAACGGGCACAACTACATTTTGGTTGCTGTAGACTATGTATCCAAATGGATTGAAGCCATTCCCTGCCCAACCTGTGACGCCAAGGTGGTTGTCAAGCTTTTCAGAACCATCATCTTTCCGAGGTTCGGCATCCCAGGGTTGTTATTTCGATGGAGGCTCCCATTTCATCAACAAGGTGTTTGAAAAGTTGATGAGAAGCCATGGAGTAAACACAAGGTCGCCACGCCTTATCACCCTCAAACCAGTGGGCAAGTTGAAGTCTCCAACAGACAGATCAAGGCCATATTGGAGAAGACTGTAGCTTCACTAGGAAAGACTGGGCAGCAAGGCTTGATGAGCACTTTGGGCTTATAGAACAGCCTACAAAACCCCCATTGGAAGGTCTCCTTTCAATTTGCTGTATGGGAAGGACTGCCACTTACCTGTGGAGGTCGAATATAAGGCTTTATGGGCAGTAAAGATGCTGAACTTTGATATAAAGGCAGCACAAGAAAAGAGGGTAATGAACTTGTTTGAGCTGGAGGAGATAAGAATGAATGCCTATGAGAACTCTAGGATTTACAAGATGAGAACCAAGGCAA